CCGGCCGGAAAAGCGTTTACGCAGCGAGACGCCAACCTTTTCTCATTTTTAAGCCTCCAAATTTATAAGTATGTTAAATAACAAAGTTACTAATAATTTATTGATAAAAAATAGATTTCTAAACATGAGTTCTCTCAATATAATTCATTTAATCAAACGTTATCATCCTCGTTTTCTCCCACACATGCCCGTTTACGCCTGTCGCCTGTGCTGGCAGGGAGGTTATCCTTAACAGTGCGAGGTCATTTTTGTCTACGAGTATCTTCCTCACCATTTTTGCAGGGCTTGTCGACACACTCATCCGTATTTATTTCACAGTTGTCGCCCGAGTAACCCGGTGGACACTCACAGACGAACTGGCGTCCCGAGGGCCGCACCCCGCTGCGTTCCTTCAGTACTGGGTGACAGACGGAGTTGGGTGCCTGGCAGGGATTTTCTGCGCAACTGGTTTGGTTGAATTGGCAGAGACTGCCGTAGAAACCCTGCGGACAGATGCAGCGGCCCTAAAGTGGTAAACAGTGAACTCTTCGTGAGCCAGGATGCACGCATTTATGTACAGACTTCCGAGGCGGATAACTAGAATCCAAAGACAAGCAGGGATGGGTCAAACGTGCGAGACATACCTGGCCGTCGGAATGTTGAGTACACTCGCCTCCGTTGCGACAACCATGAAATTGACAATCCAATTGGATCATTTCGCAGTGGTCGCCGCGGAAACCCGGTGCACAGACGCAACGATAAGGTTGATTGTTCGTGCTCTGGACGTTTTCACATTTGCCCCTATTCTTGCAAGTGTTTGGGTGGTTCTGGCAAAATTGCAGTTCTGTGGGTAGAATTCGGGGAGGGGGAGCGGGGTTAAACATCGTAAAAACATAAGGCCACAACAAAATTTATTTTACAGAAAAGAAAGGCTATTTTTAGTGGGCGGAATACGGAGTCAACCACGAAAAATATGGTATAGTAAATGACCTAACTCATTATAAGTAAACCTGCATTCTGTAAGTGGCTTTGGATTAGAAAGAATTACTTCAGTAAATTTTTAAGATTGATTATACCACAGTACATGCACGTCAAGATGCCAGCCTTTGAATGAACTTCTTTTCTGCTGCCTTTGAAAGCCACACTCAGAAAAAAAGATTCCATATGCACTATTGCAGTGACTGCTTCTGAATCTCGCCCACGAATTAGTTTTCCGGTGCCGAACTCATTATGCAAAGTCGTCTTATATCGGATTGATGGAGCTGTTCGTTAAAAGCTAACTATTCTACTATGAGGTAAAAGTAATTACGTTAATATTTGCATCTATATACTTCTCAGTGATTTTGTTGCTCTGTAGACTTCAAAAGTGCCAGTTATATGATCAAACAGCTGATTGAATATCCTTAAAACCTTCATTTTAACCATTCCCTTGGCGTCTTCAAATGCTTTGGTAGAAAGAAATGCATTCTCACGACCAAACCTCATTGTCTGTCTTTAAGGTCATTCATATTTTTATCTCACTATTTTTGACGTTACGTTCGGTCTACATGTAAGGTCTACTTCATCGAGCAAGGCTCATTAGCCCCAAGAGTCCTAAAGCCCGATTTCTCAGGATTTATTAAGAAGTAATTGCTCAGGGTTTTTAGTTAATTTAAATAAAATGCGAAATATACCCACCTATATCACAAA